AACATCTACCAAAGCAAAGAAAGTGGTCTGCTTATATACACTCCCTGGGTCTTGGGGCTCCTCCCTGAGCCCCTCCTATTTATTATGTAATTTCAGGTACTTTTCCACGGATATCTCTTTTATCTGATTATGTACTGGTGGAAATTCCCATAGGGTGCGTATTTTTTTTTTAAATGGCTACACGTCATTGCCCATTCCGGACCTTTGGACCATGGTGATACACATTTTGTTTACATTGACTTCTTCAGTATAGCTTGACCTTTGGTTTCTCTACTGCCATGTTTTGTTTGCATTAACCCTCTTAATCTTATCTTGACCTCTGGACTGCCACACACACATTATTTTCTTAGATATATGTTAAAGCACACCATTTAACCATTGTGACAAGAATATATTTATTGTGAGATATTAATCCACTTCATTCTATTCATTGTGAGACATTATTCCACTACATCTCCCAGGTCAAGCTAATGTTTAAGAGGAGGTTACTTTCTTTAACATCTTAATATCATATTCACATGAACTGGTCCAAACCAGGATCACAGGTAAATAAATGAGAATATTTTGGGGAAAAAATATATTTGAATTAAGTTACCAATTATTGGTAATGTAATTGCTAGCCTTCACGGCATAACAGAACCTAGCTCCTTTTAGAATAATAAAAAAAAGGGTTTTAATCAGTTATTTTATCCGGTCATGCTGTAGAAAATTAAATTTGGTTCAGTTCTATCAGCAGGAATGCCTGTAAAGCTAAGGATTTATGAATTAGATATTTTATATTTATTATTTCAGACTATGCTTGTGAGTTCAAGCTGTGGGTTTCTCTCATTGTGCATCAAAGGTGATTGAATACCACAGAGGCACACCTTGTGAAAAATGAAGGTTGCTCCTTGGTCTAATGCTTGATGCCATGTACACAGGTGAAAATTAATATCTTTAAAAGGATGTTGTGGCTCACTCTCTCTTTGTTGCTATGACTGAGGCATGACACTGACATTTGCTTACAACCTCTAAAATATGATATCAACTTACAAAACAAAACAAGAAAGAGAGAAAAAAAAGAGCATCTGTGTCCTTTAGGCATACTAGGTCAAGCTTTCTATCTTTAAAGCTGGCAAAAGCTGAGCGTTTGAGTCATTCACTTGCATATTCAGTTTCTGCTCGCTTACTTTCTTCTGCTTGCTTGCTGACTAGTTTCTATGCAGTCTTTTCTAGCATATGGTGTCCAGGTGTTCCAGCTTACTCGGGCTGTTTAGACACATTTCCTATAGAGCTATAAAAAGACACGTCGCAGAGATCACCATCAAGCAAAATTGAGTTTGTTTCTCTCTTACATAAAAAAGTGTGTAGCTTTTGTCTCCTCCCCTTTCCAAATGAGCTGAGCTATTTAGGCCTCAACACCTACCTGGGTAGGGTAGGAGTAAAGGAGCTATGGAATCCATTCTCCTTTACAGAGAAGTCACTGAAGAAACCTTGGTCTACACATAAACGCATGCCTTGCAACAAAAATCTACATTTCACATCTATGAATGATGTACCTAGAGGGCATAATTTTCTTCTTCTCTTTGCTTTCCCCCCACTTTCTTAACAGCAACCCAAATTGGCCATTAAAGTAAATTCCATCATATTATTTAGAAGCACACCATCAAAGGCGCCATATGCACAACAGCTTTATAATGGCTGTATATAATCCGGTGCCCTTTAACACTACGCTGAACACAAAATGATGTGGCAAAAATAAATCTAATTACCCAGCCATTCAGCATCAAAAGCCGTGGCAGAAGAGAAAGCTCCAAAGAAGAGGGCCAAGAAAAATAACAGAAAGACGCCTTTAGCTTCGTGTTTGGATTCAGAATGAAGAGGCAGACAACCTACAATTTTCTGTTTTTCTATAGACTATTACTGCAAATGTACACTAATTAATAAGGCTTTTATAGAAAATTGCCAGAAACAAAAAAGGAACCTGACTTCAATCCTACAGAATTTGAGATATATGATGTATTATCTAATTCAATAGAAAAAATGAAAATGAATAGTATTGGAAATGATAAAAAGGAATAAAAGCCAGTAAAAAGTTATTCCCTGCATGATGGAGATTTGTTCTTTAATCCATTATTCAGAAAGAAAATCACTGAGGGTTCCAGAATTTTATACCCTTTGAATTTCTTTTATAGGAGTTCTTGATGATTTCTGTTGCTTTGCCTTTATTACTGCCAATCTGTTCCCCAGTTTCTCACTCAGTTGTGTACTGCAGCTTGAGTGATTCCTGTAAAGGCCTGCCCATCTGATAAATTCCCACATCTTTCAAAATTCCACAAACCCAATTTGCAATAAAATCCTGGTGCAATACAAAAAACTGTTGTCAAAAATAAAAGGGCAGAGATGTGGATTGAATTTTTACTAGCTTTTGTATAAGGCTGTCCTCTGGGATATTAACAATAACCTTTTAAAAAGGCTGAATTAATTAGTAAAAATATGTTGACTCAGTTTTATGTATACTTTAAAAGCATAAAAGGACACAAACTCTAAATAATCGGATTATAAATGCACTTCTGTAAATATGTATCATCATTCAGCCTACCAGCAGACTTTTTTCTTACATTTGCCACTTAAACATGAATCTATATAAGGTAGAATAGCAAAACACAGCTAAATATTGTCAGTCATTCAGATCAAAAAGTGAAGCTGAGATTATAAGAGTAAACAAACACACAGTGACATTGGAGTGACTCCTGCATGAATCACTGCACCAATTCATGGTGGCATGGAGCTGATGAGCCTGGAGCTCTGCTCAACTGTTACGGCAACCATGTTGCTATATTAACACTACGGTGGCCTTTAACTTATCTGCATTGTTGAGTCGAGTGTCTATCAAGTTCCTATTGAGAATGCTCTCAAGATTCTCCATTAGTTTCAGGTAAGGCCAGCTAGTTGGCTAATCAGCATTGTCTTTAATTTTAGTTTTAGTTTTAAGTCTTTAAACCAGGTCCTGGTATGTTTAGCAGTTTGTGCTTATCATGTTGGATTAATGTTGATTTACAATGTGAGCCATTAAACCGAAGTCAAATTCCTTGTGTGCACGTGCACACCTACTGATACTCGCATACATCTGCACACTTACTGTTTTTCTATCCAGACACTACACTCACTAAAATTCATTTTAGTTATTGCTCTTATGCCCAACCCTGTAATTTATACTAACCCTAACTAATACCAGTATATCCCTAACTCTAACTTTAACCTAAAGTTAATTCACACCATTCCTCTAAATTGTCTCCTTAACAGTAAACAGGGGAATCCACCATATTAGGACCAGCCTTTGGTCCCCATAAGGCCTTTATGTCCCCAGAAAGTTAGTTAATATACCAAAAATTACCCTAAATAGGTAACATAAACAGGAACACAAACACATGTGGCCAATAGAGTTTATTCTGATTGTGATCTCCATGAAAATTGTTGGCAGAGGGAAGCTGAGCTGACTTTCAACTTTATTAAACAGTGGACCAACATCAGCAGAAGAAGAATGACCAACTGAAATACAAAATTGTACCACAACCAAGATAGATCCTGTGCCTTTTCACTCTTCCTCCAGTGTCTGGGGGTTGGATTTCCAAATAAATGCAAATCTTTACTTCAGCTGAACTGAGGACATTTGAGAACTCTTTGATAGTTCAGTCTATTCATTCATCTCTTCATGCTCTGCTTAAAGTGTATTTTTACCCAAGGAATGCAGCAGTGTTGGGTCTTGAAGAATGGCAATAGTCCACGCCTTGTGAATCTTCTCAGAACTCTGATAAGGACTTTGATTTAGAATCTTTTTTTTTTGTACTACACTTTGTTTCCTTCTACCAAACTTTTTTTGTATATATATTATATGCTTGGAGCACTATGAGAATAGCCAGAATCTTTAGCAATTACGTTTTGTTGCTTGGCCCACTTGTGAAGGGTGTCAGATTTAGACTGCTCAACTTTTGCAAATAAATCATCATCACCATCATCGCAATATCACAGTAAGAAAGATTATGATTGTCAAAGCTGATTTGGAATGCAACAATCTCTCGCTAATATATTCCCCGAGTCATAAATTTACATTTTGCATGCAAATGCAATATTCCCTCAATCGGCTGAAGTATCACCACGGGAGATGCCTACACCTGACAAACAGATTATAGTACCAAAAATGTTAAAGTTCACGGAGAGTGCAGGTAGCAAACACAAGAGAGAAGTAGGTAGAAAAATGTAAATGTATAGGAGTTTTAAATTCTGCAGCACTTGCATTAATGACTGCCTGTCGGACAGCTGTCAAGTCAGCAGCCTTCCCCTAGAATGTATTAAAAAACTTTTTTATTGTTCTTAAGTAATGCTCAGATTTTCTCTGGGAGTGTATTTTAGGCTTTTTTATCAGATGTTAGCCAGAAGTATCAAAATGATATTACTCTGTGTGTAATAAATCTGTATAAGTTTCCCTTTTTAAATTGAAATACTAAAAGAATCTATCTTGATATTAGAGTACTCTAATTTATTGAGATGAATAAATATAAATGTTCTTATCTGTTTAAATGAAAGTGACAGTATTGTATCTGTTGTATGAAAGTCTCTCTTATATAAAACTAACGACATTTCTAGGCTCATCTCTGAAATGGATTCACTTTAAGATCCCCTAATGGATTCTATACAAAGTTCAAAGAGTCAAGTATCTTGTAAAAAGGGTAAAACTCTGAGAGGCGTCAGGATATTCTCTCAGTTCTGATATCCCAGAGCTTGTGAGGGTTTAAATACCAACATTCTTAAAGCACTAGTGAGTTCACCGCTAAAAGGTTTCAGCCAAATCTACAAGCCAAAACGTGCCTTAACCTTTACTTTAGGGTTCATTAATTAAACAGTTTTGGAGGTGTATTAAGTTATAATCTATTTGAACACTGCACTAACGATTCAGTGCTGACCTTCAGCACCGAACCTTGGACATATGTCAAACTGTGTGTAGCAACATGACGTTTTACCTCTACGGGGAACCTTCTGCCATTTATGCTGTGCTCTGAGCCTGCTGATCCATTACTCTGGCCCCAGTGAAACTCCATCTTCTCAGCCTTAAAACGCCCTGGCAGTCCAGCACCTCTTACAAAGTAGTCATCCTTCAGGAGCACAGCCACTGGAGACAAAGAGGGAAGGAGAAACGAATCAAAGACGAATATTTGAGAACACTCACAAATGCAGCATAAAGGAAATTACACTGTGGTATTGTGTTTAATTAACAAAGACGCTCATCCCAGGATAATAATTACTTATTTTATTTAATCACTTATTATTCTTTAATTATGATTTTCTTTCTTTTTCTAACAGTGCATTTAAAAAGTTTACAGACCCCTGTTAAAATGGCAGTTTTAAGTAATCAATTAACAAAAGATTCATCTTTAGTCTGATTGACATAATGTACAGTTCTGCAAAACGGAAAACAAAGAAATAAAAAAAGGCTACAAGTTGGTATTTTACCATAGTGTATTAATTTAAAGGTCAGTACAATTATGCACCCTCTTTATAACTGGTTAGCTCTAATTAAAAGGACATTCCATTGAAATTGGTAACATTTTTGAAGCCATCTAGATGATTGTATTTTTTTCCTTTTTAAAGTCAGATGTACAATTTAGAGTGGCGTTGCTTAGAATATTGCATGATTTAGACGATTTTTATAACTGAATTTAGATGGAACATTTTTTTTAACACACCCAAAAAAAAAAAAAAATTCAACCACTACATTCACGGATCAATCTCCCTTTCTCCCAGTTCCATTCACAGTATAAATGGCCTAACAAGCTGTCGAATCTCAAATATTCTCAACTTTGTGTGAAGTGAGGACCCATGGGGGGGAAAAAAGCCCTTGCAAAAAGCCAGAAACCTGACATGGTATGTGTCTTTAAGCCTGTGTGATGAAATCGTTAAATGCTACGTTAGTAGCATGCACCTCTACAAAGATGCTTGTGATGTGCTATTCAGAGAGCACTAACATTTTTCCCCCCAGTGTCCTTGAAATCCCCGGTTGACTGCGAGAAGTGCAGTGCACAGGTTCAGTCAAAGCCACCATCTCTCTAATTGTTGCACGACTTGTAAGGAAGACTCGATGGCATCTGGTTGCCTTGTGATCTTTATCCACATGGCAGCTTTTTACGAGGCTCTAATGCTGCAGCTCTGCCTCTGCAGAATAGCAGGAGCTTTCACATTTTCTCTCATGTAAGATCATTAAGATCCACTGCTTGGTCTAAGAAATGTTCTAGGGATTCTATCCTTTTCACATTTAACTGTTGTTTTTTCTTATTCATTTGGTAGAGTTTGATGTGACCTGTGAACATATTGACATTGCATTAATACTTCTACTATATGCAGAAAAATGAGACTTCAAAAATAACACCGAGCAAAGACTCTAAGCAGACATACAGTTGACATGTGGTAAATTATTCATTTCCTTACAGATGACTGCTGGATAATTATATGTGTGACTCCCAATGCATGAAAACTTTCAAAGCTATAAGAGAAAGTCCTTGCTAGTATAACATGCATGGTTATTAGATAAACATTGGCACTGCCTAGAAAGATGTGATGCTAAAAAAAACCCCCTCAAGATCTGTTTGTTTTCATGAAATTAGATTTTAAAAAATCCATTTGTGGCATGCCATCGCTGTTTACATCACAATTCAATATGAGAAGAGACATCATTGGACGGGAATAGCCTGATCTCTGGACCCAACAGTAAGATAAATATGATTTTGTCCTGAACTTGACTCAAAGCCCAGCGCAAGTGTGTTCCAGACGACTCAGATGACATACTGGAAATGTAGACAAGATGATGAAGATCAGAAATAAGGGAGAGGTAGATTGGAATAAAAAAAGTCTATAATGCCTGAGCAATACTTGCTTTTCAGCCCAAACAGATGATAGCATTTAATATCCTGTATAAAGCCCTGCTATAAAAGGAAAACACATCGTAGCCAGCCCGGGGCTGGCTCTTTGAATGTTGACAGTTTCATGCTGGTTAGTGCAAAGATGCATAGAACTATTAAGTTCAAGTCCCGATCGTCCATTTGTGATGCAATTGTAGCTCAATTTTGTCATGTTTGAACTTGGAATGTTATGCTTTCCACGGATTAGATGAGCGGAAAAAAACAGGGTTAAGTTAAAAAACAATGGGCAACCATGACTGAAGGTTGGGAGGAAATCAGAGAGAGACGGTTACCGTTTGCTGATGGAGGTGTTACCTTGTGTAACTCCTCAGCACAGCACAATGGAAGGAATCATAGCGTGATAATCCTGTTGAATTACACTGCAGAGAGTGCTTCCAAATAGGGTCCGACATAATAATAGAAACGACATTCTGTTACAGATTCCCATTACCACAGGCAGCACCTGCAAGCTAGTTCACATTAACACCATTTGACAAAGGTATCAAAAGAATCTGGAAAGACATGGTGAGAAAACAGCCGTGAGTCTTTAGGAAGCCATATTTACTCCTTCTGTTATGCAGAAATGCTGTCAAAAGTTTTGTTGCCTCCTCATCCTTTGATAAAAAGCTATAAATGGAGAAAGCAGCATCATTTGGAGCACATTATTACTGTGATTGGAGAAGATTTGACTAAGTTACAGAAACTAAAAGATGGACGAATTTTTAACAGAACCAGACGGACTTAAAGGAACACTATTTATGGCAGAAGGCCCTGTTAAGGTTCCTGTAGAGGTACAGTAATTAAAAAAAGATCTAACATCTTCTAACATTTAATTGCAAGTAGAAACTAATATCTACTTCGGAAGGATATAAATATTGGCTTGAAAAACTCTGGATTTATATTTAAATCGGTTTATACAGGGAGATATTTAGAAGCTGTAGTTATTACTTTATCTAGCATATACCACTGGTGAATATCATTTTCAATATTATAAAAATGTCATTGTGAGAACAGCCACACTATGGAGGGAACTAGGAGATATTTTTATGTTTGCACCCATAGTTTTACATCCTTTGATTATTAGTCACAGAACATATCCAAGACCTAAAGGAACATTATAGAGAATTGGGTGGCCTAATGTGTATACATTTCTAAATGTGCAGTGAGAAACAATTGAGGACATCAACTGTAAAATTGTAAAAGTTTCATATTTAAAAGGATGATTGATCAAAGCTTTATTCATCTGAATGAAAAAATCTCTAGAAGCTTTCTTTTTCTATTCAGTCTGTTTTACTTCCTTAAAATTAGAATGTATTCCTGAACTATAAACCAAACATTTCCACGTTTCAGATGCCAAAAAGAATGATCAAACACATAATGGTACCAATCAGATATCAGAATCCAGTGCACTTTACAAGGAACTGCTACTTCTTTCTATTTGCTGATTATTCATTAATAAATAATTTTAAGCTTACTTATATCTGTACCACTCACCATCACATTGCAAGAAAAACAATTCATCTGCTCTACAGTTGAATCAGATTGGTATCGGCCCAGGTATTGGTATCTGATTGGCCGAAAAAAACTGGATCGGTGCATCTCTAGTAACAACACAACTGTCTATATTTGTATAATTAGGAAATAAAGGAAATGAAAATAAAAAAGTACATAGGAAAATGTTTAATATTAGTAACCAATAAGTGAACAAGAACAGTAACAATGTAATATAAAATTAGAGAGCAAAAGCTGTATGGTCTCCTATAACTTATACATTTTATTTATTATTGTTAATATTTTATATCTAAAGATTTTCATAAGCATTTGTTTTCAGACTCTTTGGCTCAAATATACCCAAAATTGGTTTAGAGGATGATCTAGTGGTTTGTAACCTAACAAAGGTTTGCTATTTGAGGAGTGTGGAAAGAAAGAAGAGAACCAAAGGAAGAACATCGCAAGAAATCTAATTACAGTCTGTTGCAATCCATGTAAGGTGGGAGATGCTCTAGAAAGACATGAAAAAAAAGAAAATTCAACATATATACAAAATGCTGTATATAAGAAAACACTAAATAAAAATAGCAGCGCCTTCCTCACAATAACACCTGGTGGTGGCAGCATGGTGCTGTGGTTGTACTTTCCTCTAGCCGGGGCAGCTAGTTTGGTTAGAGTTGATAGAAAAATGAATGAAGCACTCCAGGAAAACCTGGGAGTAACCTGGTCACAGAGGACATGAGGCTGGAAACCAGCCTTAAATTAATTGGTTTAGGTCAAAGTATGCATAAGATTTTAACTTTGAAAAGTTAAAGTCTAGGGTAGTTCTAAAATCAAGTGAGAATCAGTAGTATGACAAAACAGCTCTAAACACTCTTTCTAAACACTGTAAAAAAAAGTTTAACACTTTCAGTGGAGATTGAAAGTGTTAAACGCATCCTGTATTATAACTGAAGGAAACCACGGTTGGATATCTTATTTATTTATTTTTTTAGGACACTTAATATCATAACGCCTATAAAAGGGCCAGAAAGTTATGTATAATTTTTAGAAATCCTTGTGGTGAACAGAGACCATGACTACAAATGAACTGTTTAAGACATTCGCTTCACAGGAGCAAGCTGTGGTCTAGTGTCTTGCCTGTGGGCACTTCCCCATGTGTTCAGTAAGAAATGTGGCCTGATATTATCTCTTTTTAATGTTCACACCCATATTATATGTGCTTTAATGTTCCATGGATTTGAAAACAACATGACCAGAGCATCTCATAATCCCACTGCGATCCTGACTGAGATCAGATGAATCTAGAACCCTTTTTACCACGTCTACATTTGACATTATTAGCCAGATTAAAATTGGTGCTCTGTCGGCTGATCCCTCGCTTTACACGAGGATTTAGTCAGGCTGTGAATGAGGACGGCCCACTTTTAATCATAACACAAAGCAAACTAGGGGGGATTGAGTGTGAGAACAAGAAAACACATATTGTCAGTAAACAGAGAGGATAATGGATGAGTTTTGAAAGAAGTATGAAAGAAATTTAAAGTAACTCAAACAGATTTAGCGATTGGAAAAAAAGGAAAGAGGTGTGATGTTTTGATAAACAAAGAGAAGAGAAAAGAAGATTTAAAAAGAGAAATCTTGTGTTATGAGGGATGAGCTGAGCTCCTGTCGCGAGGCGAGAAAGAATCTGCCAGAAGCATTAACGTGCCAACGCTACTTAAGC